CTTACGGTCCGATAAGCTGCTCGATAATCACCATTCTATGCCTATCTCTTTGGCAAAATTCTGTGGAATTACCTCATGAATTGTTTCCACTTAAGAACTCAAGCAAAAGTACTTAGGAAAGACTCCTGTGAATTAATATTTGCATCAAACTTTTTACTAAAGTAAAGAATGTGGACCAAATTAGGCTTCTTAAAAAATTCCACCGAGCCCAGTATATGCCTGGCGCTTGGAGTACTTCTGCACATGCTTGCTTATCATTTGTACTGAAACGGTTGGTTGAATTAAAAGGACAATTTTACATTACAATGTCCTTGCAAATTCCATTAGTTTTCATTATTCATAACTCTTTGGAGAGCTCGTCTCGAGTTTTTAGTATGCTTTTTTTATGGTATCGTCCTCCAAACGATAAATAATGATTTATCTTTATTTCTTTTCATTATAGTCATTTTTTGCTATTTTCTTATCTTTTTGTTTTCTTTATAATTTGGTTATCTAAACTCCTCTCTTTTTTCTGAGATAGCTTCTTGATATTCACCCAAGTCTTTGTATCGGTATGACTATATTCACTTACATGTCTGCTTTTATATTAGTATTTGCTTGGTGGTCGTTCCCATGGATTCGTATATCGACTTTTCATCTCTTTTACGTTCCCTACGCATTTCGGTCTCAGATCTCTATTTAACTGGATTCGTGCGTGAGCGCACCTCTCGTTTCCTGGAGCAGTCTACAGGCTTGGCAATCTCTTCTCGCCTGCTGGACCAACTTGCATTTATTGTTAGTTCTTGCCGAATTCTTGTCCGCCTCGCCCAACAACCGGCAACCGTGCATAGTGACGCTGAGGGTCGTTCGGAGCTTCTGAGCAATATTCCAGAGTTTTTGGTAGATAACATTGTCGATTTTGTTAGCTATCTTAGGCGGATGAATGACAACTTCATTGAGGTAAATCTTCAAGTGCTAATATTATTTGTTTTCATGTTAATTGCTATTTACGATGTCTTTAGTGTCTTTTATCAAGAGCAGCAGGCTAGCTATTCAGCCTAGCTATTCAGCCTAGCTATTCAGCCTAGATATATACTTTTTGCCACTTAAAATTTTTTATTTGATGTTGATAATATGGGACCAATAATACATCTCATATTACCTCTAATTTATAGCCATTCTTTTTTTGCTGGGAATGAGTAATAAATCTCTCATTTGCTCAAACCAGCAGCAAGAGGTTTCCGGGGCAGGGTAGCCAAATGTTTACACTTAGACTTCGTACCACACTGTAATTTTCTAGAACTATTTTTACTCGCTCGTTTTTTCGTCCTATCAACGATGGGTTATAGTTAAGAATATCCGTACTTTTTTCACTGAACAACACTTTATTTCCTAATTTGGAGAATTTTGATTATGTGATAGATGTCGTTCTCTCCTTTCTAATCGAAAATAATTTCATTGCAATGTCTATGATTTTATCCAACTGACTATAATATCGCCGCTGCTACGTCTAACATCCGCATGCTAATCGTCCACCCGTCGCGCCCACTTCAGCCTCAGCATTCATACTAAAACAATTTGGAGAGACATTTGCTGTACCTATGCTCACCTTTCGCATCCAGACACCAGATTAACGAGAAAATTGGCCTTATTGATGAAAATTTTGTTTACAGATCCAGGCGTATTTCTGTAATAAGCTGTCTTGCAAATGCCCTAGCTCTGCATATGATTCTAGCTGAGACATGTATGACAAATCTACCCAAAATAAGACTGACCGGATGGCCAAAGCATTTTGGGGCCATCTTCAATTGCTTAATGGCCGAGAAATTCGGAGGGCTGTGGCAAACTTCTTGAGACCCTCAAGAATCATTCATTAACAGCTATTTTCTCGGTCGAAATTTTGGTTTTTGGAATAACTCCCTACTGTTGTCGACCCCTTTGACTGTCTGTGCGTTTTAAATAAGTAGTTTGGGTCAAAGGTTTATGTTTTCATCACTTTAATTTAAGAATTAGAATGTAAGAGATTCCTAAATTGTTTTTACTGAAAGCCTAAGGAGGATCGGCTTGCAGTTGTACGGCCAATTTTCAAATCCTTTCCACTTGCTCTCACATACCAAGAAAATAAAGCTATTAAAGCAGGAATTAATTAAGGGATTCATCAAAACGTAGTTTATCTTTATATATGTGCCAGACATTTTTGTCGTTATTCCTACGAAAATCAGAAACGAATGTGTCGTTATCTTTAATTGTGCAAGCCTTATGCGTGTTCAAATAATGATCTGGACCGAGAAATAAAAGATTGGCCTTATTCTCCAAAAATTAATTTGCATAGAAACAGTATGAAGACCAAGATGGCGTGGCTCTTTGTGTGGTCGCAGTCTCCTTTCGTTGTATAGAGGTTGTTTGACCTTGTTTTCT